GATGATGATATATGTGCATTGTTAATGGATATTTGTCATGAAGAATCAACATTATTTTGGATGTTTAAATATGTAATGGATTTTTTACAACCATTTTATTTTTGTAAAGGTGATATTATTATGAAAGCATTAAGAAAAAATGGCTCGATATTACGTTTTGCATGTCCACAATTAGTTGATTATTTTGAACAAGCAAGTATTGATTATTTCTTTTGTTATAAATGGAATGCATTATTATTTAAAAGATTCTTTTTAAATGAAGACTTGATAAGAATTTGGGATTCAATTCTTGCTTTTCCAGAAAGACGTTTATATTATTTTATTTCTATGTGTATCATTAAAGAGTATTCTGATATTATTATTTCAAAACAATTTTCGTTAGATGAATTATTCATATTTATTCAAAGTTTAACTAACAAAATTCCAGTTGATATTATTTTTGATGCTGACGTGTTATATCAAGAGTTTGTTAAAACTGCAGACCCACTTAGTGTTCAGTTTGTATATGAAAAATTTAATTACAAACAAATTTAATTCTTCAGTTATTTTATTTTTTCATTTTAAATTAAAAATTTATTTTTTTTTTTTTTAAATTAAACTTAAAAAAATGAATTCATTAAAATGTGGAAAGAACAATGGATTACATTTTTAAAGAAAAGAAAAATTGATATTATTATTACCTTTATTGTTTTTGTACTTTCTAAATTATTTAGTCTTTTACCTCCCTTTAAAATGGAAGCACCAAATAATCATCCTTCTTATCATTATTCAAAACAAGAAAACACTTTCACTAGAAATATTACAATTACAATAGATTTCTTTATTCCTTTAATTTGTATTATTCTTTTATGTTTAAAGAACCACTACATATCCGGTTTATTTAATTCAATACTATCTTTCATTTTCAATGACTCATTAAATGGAACAATCACTCAATTATATAAAATATTTGCTGGAAGACCTCGCCCTTTTTATTTTAATGGTTGTAACCCTTCATTATATACTTGTACTAAATCATTTCCTTCTGGTCATTCTTCATTTTCTATGGCTGGATTATTATTTTTATCTTTATTCATTTATTTTTATTTCAAAAAATCAAATATTCATTTAAAATCATTACCTTCTGTGTTCTTGTGTGGAATTCCATCACTTCTTGCTATTATTATTGCAGTCACAAGAACAAGAGATCATTATCATCATTTCTCTGATATTCTTGGTGGATTAATTCTTGGTAGTTTTGTTGCAATTATCTCTTTCTTTTCTACATATCAACGTTTCTACACAGAAGAAGAAGATGAAACTATTGATTATGAAATAGTAAATAATAAAACAGTTCTTTTAGAAGAAGAATAAATTAATTAATTAAATCTTTCATTTTTTATTAAATTTTATGAAAATAAATTATTAACTTCTTTCACTTACTACTATATGAAATAAACTGCTTTTATTTTATTCTATTAACTAGAATTCTTTAATAGTATTGTTTAAATTAAATAAATGACATTTAAAAACTAATTTTCATTTTTTAATACCTTATCAGAAAAATAACAATTTCTTGTTTTATGAATAGTGTTAATAGTTATTCAAATATTTACATATGATACTTCTCTTGTTTTATAATATTATTTATAAACTGATTTATGAATAAAATTTTGTTTTTTATAAAGCAAATTTTTATTATTAATGAACAATAAAAATGTTAGATATAAAACAAAAAAAATCAAACAAAATTGAAAGAAAGTAAAATATTTTAATTAATAAAAAAATAATAATAAAAAATAATAAAAATAAGAAAGAACTTAAAAAGTATTTAGAGATGTCAATTGCAGCACTGTTCATACTTGATTCTAAAGGAAGAACAGTTATCAGTAGAAATTACAGAGGAGATATTCCTATGAATGCTGTTAATCAATTTGTAACTAAAATAACAGAAGAAGAAGAGATTAATTTATGTCCTGTAATATTAATTCAAGATATCACATATATGTATGTAAGACACAATGGACTATATTTTATGGCATTTACTGATCAAAACATTAATTCATTGTTAGTCGTATCATTTTTGACGAAATTAATAGAAGTACTTAAGACATATTTTGATGTTGTAACTGAAGAAACAATACGAGATAATTTTGTTGTTATTTATGAACTGTTAGATGAAATGATTGATTATGGATATCCACAAATAACAGAAACTAAAGTTCTTCAAAATTATATCACTCAAGAAAGTCATCGTATGAATATGAAACAAGTTCAATCATTACTTCCAGTTGTTACTGGTGCAGTTTCATGGAGAACTCCAGGAATTAAATACAGAAAGAACGAGGTATTTGTTGATGTAATTGAAAAAGTTAATGTATTAGTTTCACAGAATGGATCATTGTTAAGATCAGAAATTCTAGGAACAATTAAGATTAATTGTAAATTATCTGGAATGCCAGAATTAAGACTTGGATTAAATGAAAAAATTAATATTGGAGATAGAATGGAAAATAATAGAAATCAAGTACAAAAAAGAGCTGAAATGGATGATGTTAGTTTCCATCAATGTGTTAGATTAAGTAAATTTGATAGTAATAGAATTATTGGATTTGTTCCTCCTGATGGAGAGTTTGAATTAATGAATTATCGATTAACTTCAAATATTAGACAATTAATTTGGGTTGAATCAGTAATTGATAGAAAGAAGAGAAATAGAATAGAAATCTTAATTAAAGCAAAAAGTTTCTTTAGAGAAGCTATTAATGCTAATAATGTTCAAATTAGAGTTCCTGTTCCATCTGATGTCTTTAATCCACAATTTAGATCATCTATTGGAACTTGTAGTTATGAACCACAAAATGATTGTGCTTTATGGTTTATTAAGGTGTTTCCTGGTAATCGTGAATTCATGATGAGGGCGTCATTTGAATTACCATCAATAAGAGATGAAGAAACTGATAAAGAAAAGAAACCTGTTCGTGTTAATTTTGAAATACCATATTACACTGTAAGTGGGTTACAAGTAAGATATCTAAAAGTAGTTGAAAAAACTGGATATCAATCTTATCCTTGGGTTCGTTATATGACTTTTGCTGGTGATTATTGTTTTAGAACATAAAAAAAATGAATAGTTGTCTAAAACAAATTGAATACTTTTTTATTCATATTGTTATTTAAAACATTATTTAATTTTATTTTTTTTCTTTAATAAAAAAATGATTAAATTATTGTTATTTAAACAGTCGACCACTGAAACTTGAACCTAATTTCTTTGATGCTGTAGTTCCTCTTCTAACTAATTCTGAAGAGTCTGGGATTGGTTCATCTATTATAGGAACTTGATGATATGTGATGATATTAAAAATACGGGTATTAATTTCAGATGCAATAGGATCAATTAATCCATCACCTGAAACCAAGTGACGTTCATCTTGTTTAACTCCATCAAAATATTTAGGAGCAATAGCATTAAATTTATTGTAATCAATTTCCATATCACATCTTAATGGTGGTTGATTATTTTCAGTATA